AACTATCCCACTTGAAAACAAATGTAACCTTATAAACATATGACTAACAAAAGCAACTCATATATTTTGATTATCTTCAAAACTACATATTTGATATTAGGGTTGCATTTTAGGTATATATACACTTGTACTTGTATGATTAGATTTCTTGTATATATGCTTCCTGGAGTGGGTATCAAAATGTATGACAATATCCACAATCAATAGCTGGCCATGTTCACTACTACTGAGGAAAGTTCTCCACTTAATTAGAGGTACCTATCTCAATCAGCACTAAGGGCACTTAAAAACAAACAACACTAAAAGGCTAGATACATAGGAAGAAGCTAGGAAATAATATCCTGGCTAGCTACTTTTTCTAGTTGTCCAAACAGAAATTTTCGTGGAAAAATAGTATGATATATCAAGTTTATATCAAGAGAATTAGATGCTTGGTAACGATATTGATGGGATGGTACCTTTGTGAAGATAATGTCTCAAGCTAGTACTGTTTGAGTTCCATTTGGGCCTGTGGGAACCACCAATATCACTTATTGATATGTCCATCAAGTTGATCATCAGAATTGATATTGTACTTTGTCATAATAAAGAAGTCTTCAATAATAAATGCTACATGAGTTATTGAGAGACATTAATCAGCCGTCCTATTATAAAATTAGATACGATGAGGATATTTTGAGAAGGAAAAAAAAAAGTTAAATTTGTTTTTAGTGCCAAACTATAGGACAAATCTTGTTTTGATCCATGACTTTAGAAACATTCCAAAATGAGTACTCGACTACCAAACCATCGAATATTAATCCTTTCGTCTATCTCACTGTAATCTCTACCGGACAAAGCATTACTTCTTAACACTCATAGTCATACCTAACATGTAAAATTATAAAAATGACCAATTTGAAACAATTTAATGAATCGGGAACCATTTTTAGATGTTTTAAAACTATAGAGAAAAGAATAGAATTTGACCTAAAGTTCCGGAATTAAAAGTGAGATTATTAATCCCAAAAGGTATGATTTATTAATAGAAATGATCGATATCCTTTCATCAGAAAAATAAAATAAAATCCTTTTTTAAAAAAGTAAAGTAGTGAATAAATATAGACGAAATAAAAGAACTAACCATTGTATTGAATTGCGATGGAAAATATATCGTATAGTGTGAATGTATATACACACATATTTTTTGTGTATTGGAGCTAGGTGGAGTTTATAAGTGTGGCCCATGTTCCACAACAATGAGGAATTGCCAACATCAATCTGCACCATCAATATGGTCAATCAACAATAATGTAGCACTCGATCATCATGTCTAATATTTTGGGGGTACGTACCATCGCATTAATAATTATAATCTATCAGTTTCAACTTTGTGTCTGTATATATATATATATGTATGTATATATTAACTTCAAGCTGATATATATGCAAGATCAATATATTCCCTTGATTAAGTACAAATCAACTTATCAACCCTCTCTTTTTTCCACTATGTATGGTCAGAATGAATGAGAGATGATATATCAAAGGTTCATAAAGACAATTGTATGAAAACAAATTTATAGTCAACAGTCAATAATCATGAACCACGAGTCAATGATTCACTATTTATTTCTCTAACGTAGGCGAGCAAATTAACGTGTCACAAACAACATTTTTTTTTTTTTTTTGGAAGCATGTGAAAATTTCCGGTGGTGAAAAAGTTCCACCAACTATATAAATGAACAAAATTTCAGTACGTTTTGATTGTTGTTACCCGTCAAATATAAAAACTTAATGATATAATGTGATAAGAATACCATTTTATTAATTATCATATATATTTTTAGTTAAATATTCAATTTTTTATAATTATCTTATTAATATTATACGGTTACAATAATAACACTCATTGATAAATAAATATTAAAATAACCATTAAAATTATATCCATATATATATGTGTGTGATACAAGAGCATATTTGATGTTGAAGGCGGTTTTTTATAGTGGTTTGGGTCTCGAAAAAGTGACTAAGTCCTTCCATCAGGTGCTGCAGTGAGAGATCTGAATTTAAATTCAGCGAGGGTACAAATATAATTAAAAAATAGTGCAAACTAAAATGAAACTTCTAACATTTCTTTAATATTTAATTTTTTATCGAGTTTTTTGCCTATTACAAATGATATCATGTATATAAAAAAATAATTACAAATGTTAACACTAAAATTAACCTCCTAAAATTAAAAGAGTTCATAACTATAAAATATTTTACTAATTAAGAAACACAAGTTTACATATCTCAATATGTTAATTGTGGCTACTGAAGCTAATAATTTTTACAAACCAACCAAAATTTGAGGACATAAGAAAGTGACAAGAAAGAAAGAAGATGAGATAGAAGTGAAAAAAAAAAAAAACAATGATAGCGATATATATTTATGGAAACCGGAGGAATAAGAAGAGAAGGGAGGGAAATAAATCAAAAGAAAAAGGGAGATAATGGCTTCAAAAGTAAGAAAAATACAAAGTGGGAAAGAGAAAGTTGCAAATGATCATAAATATTCAAAAAAAAAAAAAAAAGGAAAGGGAAAGAAGCGTTGAACTAAAGAACGGAAGAAGAGAAAGCTACTCAATTCAGCCAAAAATAAATAAATATAAGAATTTAAGCAAGTAGTTCAAACACAATTGAAGTCCAATATAGAGACTTCTTAAAGAAAAGGCCTAAGAGTACTACGTAAACTATCAAGTATCGATATGGGGGCACTAGGCAAATATTGGAGCACGTCTCAAGAACTAAACACGAATATAACCAGCACTAGTTTTCTTAGTGGGGGCACGTGCCCTCACTGACCTTAGATGCGTTCGTGCCTGTTCGGGTGTGCCTATGAATTTATAAAGAACACCGCAAAATAAGGACCCGAACTATTAATGCTTAGAGTGGAATTCTAGAGTTTGGTTCTGTGTTTAATTGCGGCTCTCTTATTAGTTATAATTTTTGGAAGTAATTTTTATAATGGTTACGTGCGCAACTCCTACAACAATATCAGAGCAAGAGATTATAAATTCAAGACCTCATGGATGCATAATATATTTGAACTTGAGAGATATTCTACGTGACTTCAAAGATTTAATTATACTTTTACTATTAGTTATAACTTTTGGAAGGAATTGTTTCCCACTCCGTATGTGTGTATGCTTATTGCATAAATAGCCCCAAAAGATAGTTTCATATCCTCAAGGATCATCTACATACGGGATCGGTTACACACCATAATTTCCTTCAGAAGCAATGAATTGGATAACCTCAATAATCGCAAGTGCATCAAAAAAGATAATGAAAAAAGGGCCCGTTTAGTACGTTGATTCGAGCTTTTAATTTGAGTTGAGATATGACTTTATGTGAAAACTTTTTACTGTAGCAAAAAATTAAATGTGATTATTTCTGAGAGCTTTTTAGTATAAGAATGAGGCCAAAAACTCTTCAAGAGATCGAAGACTTTGAGGGGAATATGTAGACAATTCAATTAGACAAATGCATAAATTAAACGGGGTTTGTTTCATTGCATTGAGCCCGTTTACTTCTAGGCTACGTCTCCATACAAAATAGTAGTAAGACATTGCACGCATTTCCAATATTACCAGTCATGTAATGAAGTCTCCTTTTATCAATGACTTACCAAACAAAACACGCAACGGTCGTGTTTGAAATTGATCCCGTTTTTATTTTTTATATTTTTTGAGAAAAAAATGAAAACGTTTTTAAAACGGCGTTTGGCGCAATAAAGACAAAAAACGGAAATGAAAATGATTTTTTAATTTAGTGTAAAATAAGAGAGAAATAAAAAATGTTTAGAGAGAAAGAAAGACATTAATGGATTTTTTACATTGAAAATAATTTCTTGATAAAACTACTAAACACATTTTTAAAAATAATTTTTATCTGAAATTAAAAACGTTTTTCTTTTCATTTTTATATAAAAAATAAAATCATTTTGAAACGAATTCCAAACGCATCGTTAAGTCCCATTAATGTTCAGAAACATTTATTGACGCATTTGAAACTGTTTGAGAGCGCAAAATACAATGACTAATAGCCAAGCTAGACAAGTCCCATTAATGTTCAGTGCAATGCTGTTGGTGTGGCCTATATGTCCAAAATAATACAACTCGGAGATAGGCGGCGCCGGCGTTGAAAGTATTTATAATGTAGCTCGAAATAATAATAACTTTGTACTAGTATGGCGTACTATGATAATCGGAGTTTAAGATAAGGTCTTGTTTAGTTCAATGCTTACTAAAATAAAGAGTTGTGATGATAGGTTCTGATGTAAATGGCCTTTTTTATGTACTGTTTTGCGTTTTTGAGATAGTTAATTGATGATGTACCAATTTGTGGTTTATTCCTGATTAACGGTAGTGGTTCGTCACTAATTAACTGATTACAATCAATAATTTACCGATTTATCAATTTTAAACCATTAGTATATTGATGATTAATCACGGTAAAAAATGACCATTTTAATTAAAATGTCACGTCTAAAAGAAAAAAAAAATAGACCATTAATTTAAAAGGGGTAGCCCAGAATGGGCATCAACTTAATTTTTCCAATTTTAATACCCTCTTTGCGTTTACAAAGAAAATAGCAAAAATGGTGTCAACTATTGTAAACAAACCATGCTAAAGTTGGTGTTGGTACTTGTAATTTTCTGTTTAAGTTTTTGGGTCTGTTGTCGATGGTCCAGTTATAAATCAAGCCTATGTGACGGGGCAAAAATTTAAATCGAAAGTCAGATTTCCATTCCCTCCAAAAAAAAAAAAAAAAAAAAGATTTTTGAATGTATAATTTTCTATGAATTAGAGGAACACATCTCGTTCACTTCGCAGATTCAAGTTTTTAATTCGAGTTGAGATGTGACATTTTATGAGAGTTTTTCACTGTATCAGAAAAAGTTAGATGTGACATTTTCTGAAAACTTTTTACTATAAAAACCTAAAACTGAAAATTTGAATCGGTGAAATGAACGAAGTATAATATGTGTTGGAATTCAAACATTGTACTTCTGTGAAAAAGTAAAACTTAAGCCTAATTGAAAATTAAAATGGTACAGGTAAATAACTAGACTTATACAGCCTAATTTATAGCATTTTTTCTTGGTCAACGACTCTGTAGCAGCCGAAGAGAAAAAATCACCTTACCTACCAAAGTCGAACAATAGGCTATTGCCAACCAAAATCAAAGTCAAAACATTATGCAATAGACTTCTGCAAGTCTCAACATGCACCTTGGGGAATAAGTAAATAGAACAAAAGTCTGAATTTCACCACAAAATTTGATTTTCATCAATTGTCTTGTTGCTTCTTCTAGGACACTTGCCTTGGCCAGGGAATACCTTTATGAATTTAAGGAACCTTTTTTTTTCCTGATGGGGATATTTACATGGATAAAATATCTTCTGCCCTCTTTTTACTTCCCAATCTTAGAGGGGAAAAAATGATTTTATCACCTTGAAATTCTACATACTCTTAACTATCAAGCATCCACATCCTGGTCAACAATGGCAAGCAGTCGCTCAGGCAGGAACGGGACTTGGCCTGGAAGAGCTCTGCAGAGTGGCTGCATAGTCCCGAGCCCACAAGTCATAGTGTATAATTTCCTCGAGGGAAGGCGAGGTCTCCATTTCCGACCGGTGCTTGTCACAGGTCAGCTCAACGACTTTGAATATGTCCAGATAGCTTATCCTGAAAGCAGAGCAGAACCAGGGAGCGAAGTGATGATAATGCGCGGTAAAGATTGAAGAGGGACATGTTATATCGGAAAAAATAACAAAAAGCTTACTTTTCATCAATGAACATTTCAACAGCTTTCTCATTAGCTGCACTAAGAACTCCAGTCATGGTGCCTCCAGCTCGTCCAGCAGCATAGGCGAGATTCATTGACGGGTACTTTTCGTTGTCGGGAATTTTAAAAGTTAGTGAACCAAGCCTGCATTATCACATTCCGTTTCTTAACATGTCAGAAGTGGACTGTCTACTTTTAGAAGTAAAAAAATAAAGTTTGGAATTCTCAGTGCGCATATATTTAGAAAGAAAATTTGTGGAATTAAAAAACATGACAGAAAGAAGGCAATTACTTGCAAAGATCGAGTCGAGGCCAGGTTATTTCGGAGCAATAGATTCGGTCTGGCCAGGACATGGTATAGAGAATTGGCAAACGCATGTCGGGCCAACCCAACTGGGCCAGAACAGATGAATCCTGGAAAGGGAAAAAACATAAAAGAAAATGGGAAAAAGTTGCATAGTATAATCCAATCTTTAGTTTGTTTTGCTTCTACATTAAGAACAAAAGCGTCCGGGATTACTAGGTCAAAGTCTTAACCTGTGTTTCAACCATGGAATGAATGATGGATTGTGGATGAATCACAATGTCAATGTTATCATAGTCTGCTCCAAATAGATAGTGAGCTTCTATGACTTCTAGACCCTGTTTAAGCAAATCAAATAAATAAATCCTCGGTCCTCAGTGTTTAATTGCTCACGACGAAATATTCATATAGTAAATGCATATAGCACAAGTATAAACCTTATTGAAAAGGGTAGCGGAGTCCACAGTGATTTTTTTCCCCATATTCCAGTTTGGATGTTTCAGAGCATCAGCAACCTTAACTTCATTCAACTTTTCAACGGGCCAATCCCTGTAGGTACCACAATTTAAAAGAAAAATTTATGAACATAGGAAATCTTATGTAAAATAAATAATTCTCCAACGAAGTTTCAAGCGATAAATAACTTCCTTGAAGTTATATTTTCATGAGAACAATTAAGCACAAAATATTAGATAAATATTGAATCTATCCTATTACAACCAAAAATATTCAAGTCCAAGGAAAACTGTTTAATTGTCTGACTTCAATTTCCATACAAAAATAAGCATTCACTGCATACTGTCCAAGTTTCAACCTGAAATTCTAGCTTATATTATATGATTTCATACCTGAAAGCCCCTCCGGATGCGGTCAAAATGATACGCCGTAGTGCACCGTCTGACAAGCCCTGGATGCACTGAAGAAAGAATATTCCTTTAAGATTCACTTCTAATGGGCAGAAATGGAATTAGGGTGCAAAATGATGAAGAAATGATAATGAAAGTGTCAGCGTCAATGTTAAGATGCACATAGTGGTATTCACCAATGCTCCAACACTGACAAGAAGATTATAATGAATGTGATAGAAATATTTGATTTTGCAGAAAATATGTAGACTTGTTATCAAAATTTAGATTTTTGTGTACCTGAAATATAGCCGAATGTTCGGAATCAGCAGGAAGAATTTTTATGTTATGTTTGTGGGCAAGAGGGAGGATGAAAGGACCCCCAGCAATCAGGGTTTCTTTATTGGCTAAAGCTATGTCTTTCCCCGCTTCAATTGCAGCAACGGTCGGCTAAGGAAGGAAGAAAAATAAGAAAATAAATAAACACAAACTAGGTTAGTTTATTCAGCTGGCTAATTAGTGTCGAAGTTATATATTGTTCATATCAAACACTTGTATCCAAATTTCTTTTTAACAGATAACATGCTATACAAGCGAGAATGCTAAAAGCTGCTGATGCAGAATTTTTGAGAAATCAAGCCAAATCCATGGCAAAGGGGGAAACCCCAAAAAACTAGAGAAAAAACTAGCACCGACATTCAATATCTCAAAATGCAAGTCTGTCTATTACAATAGCTATTGTGATTTATTTATAGCCCACCCACGAAACGATAACAAAATAACCACTAAGACAAATGACATAATAGACAAATAACAAAAACAAAGCTGCGTTTATAAGCTAAGACAATCCACAATGCAAAGATAACAACAATTATTATAGCTAAATTCTCCTACGTTAGATGCACTACCCAATATCTTGAAAATTGATTAGCTTCTACAGAATTCTGAGTATGGATATATCAAAAGCACATTAAACACATAATCTGATTATGTGTTTGCATAGCGTTTATGAACTTACCTTTAATCCTGCACATCCTACTATCCCTGTAACTACCGTGACAGCATCCGGGTGCCGCGCAACCTGTGAAGAGAAAATAGTAATCAAAATCTTTTGATAGAAAACATGAATTGTATTGGCAGAGAGAGATAGAGGCTAGGTCACCTCAATCACGCCTTGCTCGCCAGGAATAATCTCAGGCTTTTCTTCAACATCAGCTAAAGCCTCTTTTAGTTCACCAATTGAAGCTTCATTTCTAACTGCAACTATTTGAGGCTTGAACCTTTTCACCTGTCAAAATGATCAACTAAAATATGAATAAAAAATACATCAATTCCTAAAACCCCCGCATATGATGTCCGTGGGTTGTGATGGATCATTATCGTGTTGAGTTAGACCAGGTTCACGGAATACCTGATCTACAAGAAGAGTTACGTTTGAACCGGCTGCAAGCCCAACTACCCTGAATTTATCGGGATTCTCTGCTACTATATCCAATGTCTGAAAAACAACACACTCTAGTTCTAAGCAAATTATAAAGAGAGTCAAAACAAGCAAAAAGAAAAATGTTTAATCAAACACATAAACGGAAAATTCATTTTTCCGTTACAAATAAAAAGGACCTCAGTATAGGAAGCTGGGTACAGGTAAATTCAAATCCGTCTCCAAACACAAGATCTAGACCAAACTCTAAAAACATGTAGCTCTAATTTAAGTAGTTAACATACTTTCCAGAGTTGTAGACATACTTGACCAAGAAAAATTATGTTCATCTGTTGCTTATGCAAATTGGTGGTATTTTTACCCACTTGTTCGCAAGTTCTCAACTTTCACTACTAATAGTGCAGAATGCCTTTTCCATATCGAAATTTCGGTGCGGTATAGCAGTATTGTGCCATGGTTACCTAGTTTCATAATTATTTTTCTCCATCAATTTTGTTTCATAATGTTAGAAAACGTAACATGATCTAAAAACAGGATCCAGATAGGTCCTTGACAAAAAAAGTTACGGTCAACTCATTACAAGATTTCTCTTCTAATTTCTTTAATCCTTTGTCCTTTCTTATACCTGAGTTCCTATAGAACCAGTAGATCCCAGAACAGAGATAGGCTTCGGGCCATCCCAAGAATTGCGACTAGGCTCTGGAACAGCTCGTCCTGGCCAGGCCGGAGGAGGCGACTGTACCGAACAATGAACCCTTCTTCGGGATACTGCTCTGCAGTCCTTTCTCTGCAAAGTAATGCCACCTAAAGACAACAAACAAACCAAATAGCATAAATTGAAGTTATTCAAGCACAAACGGTTTAAGTGGAAAATGATCATATGGGTATAATTTATTGGGATATCTAAAACATCATAACATCTAAAATAGTGGTCTAAATGAAGTTCAAACCCACAATTAGTGCATAATGGTCAAATGGGTAAAAGAATTAACGATAATCACTCTGCAAATTATGCTTAATTATGTGTGACAAGAATTAATATAAACAGCCAGTGGACAGATTTAATTAATCACCACCAAAATCATTTCGTACTCTAATATAAACACGAATTCTCCAACATAGCCAAAAAAAAAAAAAAAAAAAAAAAAAAAAAAAAAAAAAACCAAAACAAAACAAAACAAAAAAAACCCACAGAATTAAAATTTGTCCCATGTCAACTGAAAAAAAAATCCAAAAAAAAAAAAACTTCGTTTCCCATATGTTTTCCGAGGAAACAAACAGATGAAAAAGTGAGAAAGAAAATTAGAGTGTAACTCAAACCTGGAAGCTTAGGGAGGCAAGTGGACTTTGTGGTGTCCAAAAAGGAGATGGCCTTCACTTCAGCTGGGGATAACAAGTTCAGAGCCATCCCAAATTCCTTTTCTTTTCTTTTCTTCCAAACACTACGGCAAAATTGTAGTTGCAGAAAGAAAGGGAACAAAAAAAAAAACCAAAATGAGAGACACAAACAAAGTTTATTGGCCTTTTTCTCTTACTGGGTGTGTTTGAAATGCACAAAATTTGCAAGAAAGAATTGGTCTTTTAACGTGTGTATGAATAGGGAAGGGAATAATAACAATTATAATAATTCTATTTTGTGGCTTTGGATATGGCAGGGATTTTGTTGGTTGTATTAGTAAAATATTGGATGGCTTGAGAGAGTGGGGACTAAAACTAACGAAATAATAACGACGAAACCAAGGACGCCCAGTCAAATCAGCCAGAGTACAGCCACCAAAAAAAAAAAAAAAAGTTAAAAAGGACTCGATTCATTCACGTCCGATTCTAACGGTGCGTGGCAAAAACGACACGCCGTTTCTCGTTAATATATAGTATTTATCAATTTGTGTAGGGAAAATGCCAAATATTCAAATGTTCTAAAGTAAAATTAAACACTTCTCACTTTGTGTTTTCAAATTAAAAAAATAAAAATAAAACTGATCCAAGTTATTTGAAGAACGTTAAATTTTGTCTGCTTGGTTAATTTTGCGTCAAAATTTTATTGTGAAGAGGCAAAACTAAACTTTTTGGGAGAAATTAATTGTGTAGTTGATTAAAATATGGGAAAACTTTAGGATTTTCTTTACCCATTTGAAATTTTGAAGTTCTCTAAATTACTCAAAAAATCAGTACGAAAAATGAAGGAAATAATTTTTGGTAAGTGATGATTTATTATAATTTTGAGTCATTATAAGATATTTGTCAATTAGTTATATTATTGATGTTTTTAGATTTTGATGGGAATGTCATTTTACAATAGCAATTAGATTCATAATAAATAAACAAATAAAAGTTACTCCTTAATTTTAAGGACAAAAAAAAAAAGTGAAACAAACTTGTCATTTATATGCTTGTTCACTTGTTGTTTTCAATTTAGTTCATTGTCATTCAATTTAGATTTATTTTAGAAAATTAATTTAATGTTTTTACAATAAAGTTTTTGACATGAAAGTGAATATATATTTCACATTTTACAAATCACAAGAAATATATTTGGGGATTTGAGAACACATCGTGAAGTGGAATCTAACCTCTTTTTTTTTCTTATTAACAGAAAATAGGACGTATGGTGTCCTTAAATTTTCAATTCTTGATAATAAAATTACGTCAGCTTAAGTTATATTTGGTGGGTCAATAAAAACATAATTTCAACTTCACAATGACTAATGTGAATTGATTTTTAAATAATATGAGATAGAATTCTAATAAATGGTTTTCAAATCTATGCCACCACCAACGATGGTAAGTGTAATTTAACTTAAACTCAAGAGGAAATGTTTCATATCTTTTCCTTGTATTAACATGATTGGTTAGAGACATGTCGTTTTGATTCTCTAAAAATTTGACCAGAATATTTCTTTATTGGATAACTCATACTACTAATTGTTATTAATTGGTCCTTTCTTTTTATTTTATTTCTAAAAAAAAAATGATTCTTTCTTACCTGAAATTCACAAGTCTCAAGTATAATTTCAACATTTCGTCAGCCGCATCTGGTGTTATTTCAATGTGAAATATCATTTTTTTTTTTTTTCCCTTCTCTTGAGCATCACCTACCCTTCTATTCCTTCAGGAAAACCACCTACTCTTCTTAGTTTGCCGATCTTATCTTCCTCATTATAAATAGCTTACCATATTTGACCGCAAATATTTATATCTTAAGCTATATAATATATGTTCAAGTCAAGCTATATAATATATATTTTGCTACTGCATGTTGGTGAATATGCCGTTTGAACAACGCTAAGCTAATACGAGTAGTGTTTAACACCATATACTAAACACGAGATTCATAAATTGGATTTACTTACAATTTACAAGCTCAACAAAAATGACACCCTCAAGTTTTTTTTTTTTTTTCTTTTCCAATCATATTGTTCAATTGGAATCACATGACAAATAATCAATAAAAGGATGGTCAATAAAACAGGAAAATAAAGACAACAGATCTCTATTTTTTATCCCTTACCCATTATAAATTTGTACTTTTTTACTCCTAAAAAATGTTCTTTTTAAGCTTTAGTTAGTATTCTCAATAGAACACTCATATTCATCGTTACTTATAAAGTATGTCTTGTTAAATTAGTATGTGAGATCTAATTTAATAAGACTAATTATTTTTTCAGCAATACATTTTTATCCCCATAAGAGTGAAATACCATTTTTTTTCTCTCAATATATATATATATATATATATATATATATAGATTGCGAGACAATTTAGATATTTCGTTAGTTTGTGTCTTATCTTTCTTTTTTTCTTTTTTTAAAAAAAGTTGAATAATACGTTCAAAGTTAAAAAACCATTGCAAACATCAATCCGTAGTATAACCTGTACTGTAGAAAACACAAATCGATGGATGATGGGTTAGTAAACTCGAAAGCACGTGTTTTAGCTTTAGATATTTTCCTTATCTTGTGTTATTTTATAAAAGAATTGTTTTTTCTCTTAAAAAAAAAAAATGACACTCCAATGGCTCTCTCTCTTACTATCACCTACTTTATCGTAACGTGACTAACAAAAAAAGTTAGATCCTTATTATAAATAGCTCACCATATTTGACCAATATTTTTTTAGGAATTGAATATTTGCTGTTTGAAGGTACATGGGTCAAACATGGCTATCTCAATAAAAAGGAAAATCATTTATTCAATTTTTTTCTTTTGCTTATACTTATAAATAGTACCATATTTTCCTCTAATATTGAGACATCATATGAATAGGTAATTGGTTTGGAAAGGGCTGCAGGGATACAAATCTAAAGTTAAATTTTTTATATCAATTGGTGTCTAACTAATCATATTATAATATCTTATTTAATAAATTTAAAAATTAAAACATAAAAAATATTAGTTAAAAAGCATTTAAATTTTTTTTAAATAATATTGCACAATTTAATTAGTTAGACATGAAGTGGAACACTAAATTAAATAGATGATTTAAATCTCGTGCAACTTGTATTTCAGTGGAAAGGAAATTCTTTTGTTCCACCTAAACTACAAAACATGTTTGAAGTTTTAACTATTTACCAAGAATGATCACTACTAACAAAATGTTATTTCCAAAATTCAGAATTTCATTAAAACATTTTTTTCGTTTATTTTCTTTTCCATTCTAAAAAGCTCAAAGTTTTCCTTGGAAGTTAAAATAAACAGGCTTAAGTTGACATGACATCACCGAACAGAAAATGAATCCTTTTTAACAACCTCCAAGTTGTCGTTCGTTGACCCCTTTTTTTTTTTTTTTTTTCCTCATCAACCACATGGAATACAACAATTTTAATTAATAAACCTTGTGCTATGGAATCGTGACATGTTCAAAATAAAAGATGCGCCATCGTTGAAGTTTTGGACTAATCTGATCTCACTTATTAATAGCGACTCTTTAACAAGTAACAATAAGAACCTTAAGAAAATGTGTTTTTTAAGCTTTCGTTTATTTTACCGATTCGAGTTTTATTACAGTAAAAAACTCTAAAAAACAGTCATATCTAACTTTTTTACTACAGTAAAAAACTCTCAGATAAAATCACATCTCAATTCGAATTAAAAACTCGAATCAGTGAACTAAACGGGCCTTAACAATATTTAGTTCTCAGAATATTGTTTAATTGGACCAATTTTATTGTTAATCTCCTAAGGAGTGACGATCATTTTCAACTATAATTTAAGGTGATCATTGTGGTCACAAACAAGATCCACCACCACCCTTAACTTGGCCTGATTCGAAATGCAAATAAGAAATGCTCTCGTAAGATGCCACTAAACCCATGTCATTAGTCAGCGTTTTATCTCAAAATGAGGCAAAAAACAAAAAACAAAAAAACAAAAAAAAAAAAACAAAAAACATATTGCTCTTTTACACAATTGAAAAATGCAAACCAAAAGGCATGTTTTTAACTTAAGAGTAGCAATTTCATTTGAAATCAAAGAAAAAAATAATAAGTTTGTAGTTATGGACTCGTTACATATAACAGGTCTTTTACTTTTTTTTTTTTAAGTGCTAAAACAGAACTAGACCAAGAAATGAAACTCTAGTATATAAAAAAGGTCTTTCTCTGCTAAAGCCACCATGCTGTTAAAATTAGTTTCTTATCATTAAATCTGATCAAAATTACATCAACTTAAAAAAATATATAAAAAGATAATTTATGATAAAAATCCAACAATTAAAAAGAGAAAATAAAGTTTTTTTGATAGTTTATTTTTTCAGTATTTATCAGAGAAATTTCATAAAAAATAATATGAATTTCTCATATCTAGAACTCCCCTTTGTAGAACAAATGGATCTCAACACCCCATATTCCAAAAAGATCTTTTATTTCATTATTTCCCATATGAAGTCTCCAATAATTAAAAAAACCAGAATAACCAATAAGATACATTTTTTTTTTTTTTTGGGTGCTGATAGCTGGTATTCAGCAAATTATGAAAATTGTCTCATGAACGTTAAGCCCAAAAGGCGTCATTGAGGGGACGTTTATTTTTTGTATTCGTTTCTGATTTTGAATCATGATTCATGATTCTTTATAATATTTTTTTCTAAAAAAAACACACGTAAAACGAGAATAATTCTGAAATATAATTCTAAATTTATGAACTAATCGTCCACCAAATCCTCAAAGTCAACAGAGACGGACTTTTACATCAAATTGATACATCATGCACTGATTTACTAATAATTATACAGTTGAAAATGCAAACACAAAACCCGTCTGGGATTCTTGACAGAAAAACAATTCCTGGTAGGCATCAGAACGTGCAAGACCTAACAAAATAGGTGAAATACGTGTTATATACATAGTTGTGTGTGCATATATGTGTGTGTGTGTGTGTGTGTGACAAGGAATGCAACATAAGCAGGAAAAGATAAAAGCGGAAACGTGCGCATACACTCAGCATTAGAAGAGTGGTGGACGGTCAAAAGTGTGACAGTAGTGTCTAAAGAGCTCCGTCAAAAATTAATAAATAAAAATAAAAAAGATTTTCTTGTTAAGTTATATTTTTTTAATCGTTAAATTTATACATGTATATACAGATTTAACAGACAAAAAATTTAACTTATCAATATATTGAGGTATCAAAAAAATCCCTAAAAATAATAATAAACAATAAAAAATGATAATAAAATAAGCCCACGTCAGGAAACTCGATCTCAACGTGCTGAAAGAAATAACTAAGAACCCTTTCGGTGGCAAGACGCCATTAGTTGATCTGTTTCATTGTGCATCAAGAATAATGTGGTGATATAAAATTAAGCAGAGAGAAAAAGGGGTTTACATGTGTGTCTTTCAGAAGCAACAGAACTTGCCCAAAGTTACAAAGGCTATAAATATCATGAATAGGATAAGCACGAGGCGGTGATTTTATTATTACTTTCAAGGTGATTTTTCTGGTTTTCGAGTTTAGATTATGTTAATCCGGGTCTATTTTACGCTGGTACGGAGGGACATAGGGACTAGGGGCACGTGCCACTGGAACCGTAGAAAAAATTTATACCTGTATAATTACTGATGGTTATGACGTTTTTAATCTTGTGTGCCACCTCTAATAACTCAGTTTGGGCATTGTAGTTGTACTGTTAGGTTTTTTTCTTCAAGTAGTTATAAAAAAGAAACATGATAATTATTAAAATAACATCGACATTAGAGAAAAGTAATATAATTTTTAAATGATTAAATTTTTTAATATTATTTCTCTCGAACGTCAATATTATAATAAGTAATTATCATGTTACTTTGATGAAATCTACGAGTTATGTTAAAGGGACCTTATACTAGAGGACCGAAGAAAAGCCGCGACTTTTTAAGAGAATAATTTTTTATGCTTGTATATGTTTTTTTTTTTTTTTTTTTAATTTGTATTCTTATGAATATAAATGATAGTATATTAAGTTTTCAAATTGTATTTTTTTAATTGTATGTTGAACCGTCATTTGTGCCCCCATTGAATACACAGTCTAGCTCCGTCCCTGATTTTACATTTGTTTTTAATAAGTCGCATCCTCCAGTTTTGGAACGTGACACCCATTCCCTTCTCTTAAAAATTATTCTCGGTCAAAAGATGCATCACGGATCAAAATCCTCAATTCCTTTATGACAGAGCCGTATTACTAGTGGAAGGATACAGAGTCTATATCAATAGTCACTTGGCAATACTAAAATATAGTGGCATAGAAAATACCTTATGTATGATGGTTTGGTTACTCGGATCACCCATATATTTCATCTTTAGCTTCTTGTATCTCACTTGAGCTCAGCCCTGAGCTCCCACCATTGATTTCAACTGCACCTCCAGATTCGGATACTTTTGTGACCCTCTGCAACTCATCGGTTACACCAGCCGAGCTTGCTTCCAATTGGTCATCATCTGAAGACTCTTTTTGCACCGAAGGTTTTGGCCTTCGGATGGCTTCAGCTGCTTCTGCCATTTGAACTGGGGGTGGCTGGGGAGGAACCCATGCACGCCTAACTGGGACCTCAGTAGTTTGAGTACTATAAGACCCTGACTTGAATTCGTCTTCATTTTCAATTTCGGTGATTCTTGGATTTCTCCGTTGCCACCAGGGCACCGAACTATCCCCATTTGAAGAGTAATTGATCCCATTGTCTTGCACATTGGAATATACGCCTTCACTGCTTGCTTGAGACTGAGTTACCTGGCTTGAATAGTTCTGGGCCTGACCAACCTCCCAAGGCTACTCAAGAGGGCAAAGAAGAAGTGCAAATGTTAAGACTTAATTTTTTCTTTATTTGATTGGAAGTTTTCCCTTTCGGAAAACAGATGAAACATGATTTTTTTTTTTTTTTTTGGGTGGGGGGGGGGAAAAAAAGAAATATCTCAAAACTCAAAAGCCAACCTTAGCTCTTGGAGCTAACCGAGGATTTGATAGTTGCTGATTAGGGTTCGGAGGTGAATCATTAATCTCCTGCAAAGGAAACCGGAATGACAAAGAGTTGGCATGAACTCCAAATAAGCTTATCTGTATAGAATCTAGTTATAGGTTACCCTGACATTAGGAGGTTTCTCCCCTCTTTGGACCATGGCCATAATCTGCATTATGAGAAAACGTTAAATGAGTAGAAGCCACACAAAACCGTGTGAGGAAAACCGAATTGCAAATCATTAACAAAACTTCTCTGGCACGTGATTATGTTCAGCGTCTAGCATTATAACTGAAGTTAACCAGCTGGTCAAGATAATTTACATGAAACATTTGCGAGGCTATGAATGTTATATCCCCTCAGTGTAACATATAAACCGGATCTTATGGAGAAACTACTGGAACAGGATGATATATTATCCGCATATGGCCAATCTTTAAAAGACTAATAACAGTGCAGTTCCTTGTGACCGACATGAATAACATGAAGAAATCAAAGCTCTCAGGACAGCCTAGCATAATATCTAAATACTAGAACTTTTCAGGAAAGATTTCCAGGTAATAAAAAGATCAAGAAAACTGCATACTTCCATGTAAGACTTTGGGTGAGGTGCAACTGATGGTTCTGCAGCCGCAGGAGGTGAGGCAGATCTAACTGTAAAGAAAATTGTAATTGTCAAAACATGATATCATTACAAATATTAAATGGTAGAGAATTCACACATAATTGAAGAATGACAACCTGAACGTGAGTCATAGTCCGCTTTGCCATTGGCATATGGTCTCTGTCAAATTTTTTTTAGTTAATAAAATCCTAACAATTGATTGAGGAAGACAGGTTGTGACGACTTTGGATATCATGACGCATAAACTTTCATGGAACTAACCTTTGAATTTATGACATTGAATTGATGATCGTCCTGATCAATCAGAGAGTTTCTCCTAAGGGCATTTGTTTCGCCTGATAATCAGGCCAAGAAAAATAAATTGCACAACATATTAATAGATTCTAAGCTGGAAAAGAAATTCCAAATATGAAGCAATACAAGATCAAGAACCAAACATCTGAAGTGTAATACATAAACAACGATTCCTCATGGGTGCTATATCATATTTATATATTTGATTATAAGGCAATTTCTTCGTACCTTCCAATTTCTTTGTACCTTCCAATTTCTGTATGGAATTACTCATTGACTTCATTTCTTGCACTTGCACATTCAACATATTCATGAGCTCTCCAAAGTACCTCTTTTCTGAAACATAGTACAAAGTAAGGTGCTTTTCTCATCAAACAGCCGAGGAAAAGGAACTCATGAATAAATAAATAAAAGCTATGAAGAATTGAAGCCTCATTGCAGTGCATGATAAATCAGAGCAGAATATCTACTCCACCTTCATTCTTTGAATTCATCATTTCTTGGCTTGCTTTTGCCACATCAGCTGCTGCGGCTGCAGCTGCTTTTGCAGCAGCTGCTGCTTCCTCTGCTAAACTTGGTTGAGAATCTGTTTTCTTGACTGAGTCGTTTTCTTCTTCCGAGACAACCTTGCGAATCCAAGACTTCAATCTAGGAATAATAGCATTCTAAAACAGGGAAAATGTAGCCAGTTAAAATCTTATACCAAAAGTATTTTGTTAAACATCAGGTAAAATCAGCCAAAAGTGAAGTTAGGTACAGGAAGCATGAAGTGTAATACACCACACATTATGGCACTAGAAGATGAAAGATAGAATTCTGGCCATCAAAAACTCACTAGTTGGGCAGTGTAGGAGACAGATCAATTCTCGATACCTTGATTATTACAGCTGTTCCAGCCCCTGAAGCAGCCAATAATCCGACAGCAAGCACAGCGTGAGACCAGTGGAAGCGGTATCGTGGAGCCACAGGGGAAATAGCATTCGTAGGAGCAGCTGCTGCAGGTTGCAGAGGTTGTACTGGGGATTGTGTCTGCATGCCTTGTGATGTCTTCAGTCCATCCGCTACAATAAAGCAATAAAATCATTAGTCCTTTATTTCTGATATGAGTAAAGAAACTTTGGACGAATCTAAAATCCCCGATCAATAGATTACCTTGATTTCCTCCACCAGTCTGTACAGTTGGAGGTGGGTCCTGCAGTTCCACAAGAGTATGTCAAGTAATACACATGATTATTAGAAAAGTAATAAATGATTAAATGACGGTTAATGCAAATATGTCAAATATTCTTATTAAAAAAAGTAGCTTACAGGCACACGCCGAAAGGCCTCATCTATCTCCTCCTTCGTTAGGCCCTTCTTCTCAAGGAAAGATCGTCTGTACACAACAGGAGAGCCTCTAACTTTTGGGTGTGAAAGGAATTTCACCGCATTTTGTACTTGCTCCTCGCGCATTGGTTCTGAGTTCACAAACACCGATGTTGGAGAACTTTGTTTAGGAGCGTCCGCCTGGACATCTTGTTGATTCTCGGTTGCTGCTTGTGTATGATTCTCGGTTGCTGCTTGTGTAAGACCTGTTCTTGAAGTTAGTATTGTTACCTTAAACATAATCTCCGGAATATACGCAATACATATAAATCATTATCTCTGCAACATTCTAGAAAGAGAAATATATCACACACTCTACACTTATGACTGTGGAGTGAATTTTCTGGACCCTCAAATCTATGAATCTGACATTGCTAAATCGCAAGAGAGCATAGCGCAAATCAACAAGTACCTCCATATTCCGGTGAGTGGGGTTCGACAATGAGTTTGAGTCAATGATGGGAAAACTTCCTCTTCTCAATATAAATTCACACAAATTAGATACTGGTAATTAGTTATTGGTTATTAGTTTACTCAACTCGAGTTTCTCACTTAGTCTGTTGAATCAATATTTCACAATGGTTAGATGTCGCAAATGATGAATTGATTTCTATCATTATGTAATTCAATTTAGGGACTGGAAACCCAAGTTCTTAGTTTCACAAGGGGTGAACCCGCTGTTATTCTTTTTTGTTATTTCAAAAACTAAAAATAAAAAGAATACAAGGGAAGGGATAAACCACAAATATTTGATTGTATCTCAGATTTTCTTCACCCCTTCCCATCACAATAAACAAGATTATTTTGATTCTTTCTAAAAGTCACAACTTTGTTCAATGTATTTATTCAAAAAAAAAAAAAAAGAACTTTGTTCTGTGTTGTATTTCACCGTGTATAGTGCAATCATTCTGAGACTTTTATTTCGAAGTATGTTCTTGTGGATCCTTATACTATATACTATAGAAACACCCAGGGGGGGAAAAAAAGTAACAATTTTGAGCTTAATATGATATTCATCATGTCCCGAGAGAAAGAAATTGTTTCATTCTGTTATTCAACACTTGAACTAAATGGAAACCATACATTTTCTCAGCAAAATCGCAAAGCTTCATGACCAGTTTATAACGGAAAGAAATCCAAGAAGCTGATAAGAAACTCGGTTACTTCTCACCGAATATGAATTAGCAATTGCCAATTATAACATATAGACACACACACACACACACACACAATATCAGCTTGGTTAGAGCTAATCCGCAACAACAATCTCTAGCATAATCATTTGATTAAGCAAATTTTTAAATTACAAACTGTTTACAGTTTAATTGTCTAATCAATATGTCTGATTTCTCGAGCAAATAATAGAGGAATGAAAATCCAATTGAAAAAAAAAAAAACGAAATTGAGCAGAAAAAACAAACTCGAAATGAGAAAGAATGAAGAGAAAAAGAATACCTGGTTTGGGCGGATTTTCGTCGGAAGGAGGAGCCTGGGATTGAGTCGCCATAGCTCACTGAATCGCAAGAGCAGCGAGTTAACTCGGCGAGAAAAAGAAAAAGGGCAAAGCAAAAAAAAAAAAAAAGAAATAAAGAAAAGAGTTATAAGAGAAGTTGGTTACAGAGGATGGTGACGGTGATGACGAAGGGATTTGGGTGTCAGAGGTTGGGTTTGCTCATCTCGAAGCGGAGCAAAGGAAAGAAAGTAGACGCCAAGACAAAAACGCACTGGATAATAATAAGAATAATAATGCACCTTTCCTGCTTCTGCTTGTATCTGATTTCTCTCGAGAGAGGGAGAGTTTGTTATGGGCCAAATTGAGCCCACCAAGTAGTACTCGTGGTTCAAAACTTGAATAATTTTGACAAATATTTTTAAAAGTGTGACGTATTTTTACTCTTTATTTTTAATTTATAATATTTTTAATTAAATAATTATATTAATAAAAAAATATTTATTAAAAATAAAGAGTAATTGTCCAGATTCATGCACTCTCAATTGATAAATTCTCTATTTTTTTCTCAAGACTTTGGATGCATTGGGCCACAAGAGCTAAATATCATTTTTCTTAACAGAAAATTGTTGAACTTGTCCGTATGAGTCTGGATTTTTATTTTATACTCTTGATTAGTATCATTTTAATTAATATAGTTATTTACTTAAAATGTATTAATCAAGAATAATGGAATAAAAATCTAGACTAAAAGGTATTTGTCTCATTTCTCCTTCTCTCTTTGCAGAAATAGAGCAGATAATTAAAATTTATAGCAGATACTCATTTTAAGTTTAGTAAATGTCATAAAACCCTTTGATTTTCCCACTCTTTATGTTCGCCCGCAAGCGTACGGTGTCAAGTTTTGATAGTATAGGGCATTGAGTATCGTCTCCACAGGTTTAAGTGTTAAATTGCCGTTAAGTACTGCGATTATCATAACTCAACTTTATCTGAGCAACCGAACTAAATGAAATAAAATAGAACATAAACGGATATAAGTATAAAAATAAGATAAAATATAGAAACTTCTATGCACAAGTGTACTAGAAACTTGACTTCACCTTATCATTCATATGTTCATCCTATTAAACCAATGCTAGTCATTTCCACTCAATTCATTAATCAAGGGATCTAATCTTAACTCACTACCTCTCCCGAGCATCAAATGAAGTCATATGCATGAATGCATGAATCAATATTCCTATCTAACTCATTTACTCATACGCTCATTAAGTTTATCCCTTAAATTACAACTCAAATGTCGATCGCCTCCCGACCTCATAACAATCGAAATCCTAGTTGATAATCAAGGTCTTGATCACTTCTCGGTCTCATAATATCCTAGACTCTCAACGAGAATATCTAAGTGTTGATCTCCTTTCAGAGTCACAACAACCTAGACTATGTTTCCTAATTTCGGACTGTGAAATCAATCTCTCTTGAGCATCAAAAGCACAATCTAAAATTATCTAACTCATTGGCCACATAAATTAGAAACATTAAGCATAGAGAAATATAAATAAATTAAAATGGAATTTAAACTAACAATTGACAATATAATCAAACATGGTTCAAATAAAGCTACATCAAGCCCTATAATATGAGGTCTAGCTCAACATAAAAGAATCCATAACCAAAATCACAAATTTAAGAACAAAAATTAGAAAACTACAAAGAAAAGGGAGGAAGAGAAAACACTTGTCGAGAAGAGATTCAAGTCTTCAAATCTTCAAGAATCTCTCCCAAGCATTCTTCAAGAATCTCCAACTCCAAACTTCTCTCTCGAGGAGTTTTTATTTCTCTCTAGGAGTTTTTGTTTCTCTCATTCTCTCTAAGTTGGGAACTAGGGTTATTTTTGCTTAAGTATACTCAAACATAGAGAAAATCATAGCCAAACTCATCCAAGGGTCCAAAATTAGCCATCCATGTTGATCAAGGGTTGAAAAATGGCCTAAAGTTTGTCAACAACATGTAGGAGGATGCAGTAGTGCGCCTCAGTGGCCCAGTTGCGCTGCTGGTGGCACGCATGCCCAATGTAATGCAACAGCGCGGGGTGCGGCACAGAAGCGCTCCTCAAGTGTCATGCCCGCACAAGTGGTTCTGCCCAAGAGGGCTCTTGTACGGGCTTAGGTGCTTTTTGCTCTAATTTTTTACTCCAAAATGCCACTAAGTCCCATTTATTATTTTTTCTACAAAAGAAAATTAAAAATACATTAAACTAACAAAAATGCTTGAAGACTCACAAATATTCGAACTAAAAAATTCTTGATTTGTCGGTAAATAAACTCATCATCACTTTCTCTCTCCGCACTCTCTCTAATCTCTCTCGAACGCTCTCCCTCTTTCTTTCTCCTCTCTCGCGCTCGCCCTCTCTCCCTCACCCTCTCTTTCTCTCTCCACTCTCCCACTCACCCTCTTTTTTTGCTCTCTCGCTCTCGTCCTTTATCTTCGGCCTTCTTCTATCATGGGCTTCAAGACAATGAGTCGTGTTGAGCAATGACAATCTAATCTCGCCATTGACGATGACACAAGCAGATTAGCGATGTTGGTGTGCCGCCATCAACGCCGAGGAAGCTGGCCATAGACCTCACGAGGTCGTTCTGCGTGCATGTGGATTTTAAGATTTGAATGGGGATGTTGGTAAATGCAAAATTTATCAAGTAAATGTTTCATTTACCAACAAATAGATTATGTTCAATTTAGTAAATGAGGGATTTACGTGGTAATTGATAGATTTTACTAGTTAAACATATGCTTTGATGTTGTAAACAATAAATTATTTTTAGTAAATTAACAATTTACAGAGCAAATCTATTATTTATCTCATAAATGCTTCATTTACCAACATGCAAAATTTTATTCAATTTGGTAAATGATTGATTTACTCATCAAATAAAGGTTCTGATGTTGTAAACATTACTGGTTTACATGATAAAATTATTATTTTACGAAATACAAAAATTGAGTTTGTATAGTCATTAATGAAGAATTGATCGGTAAATGCAACATTTACCACTTCCACTCTCTCTCTCCCTTTTCTCTCATTCTCTCTCTCATCACCATCGACAAACTCTCATCATGTCTCTCTTTTCATCATTGAAACTCTTTTAAGTGTAGAATTAGTACACCAAATATTTAAATTATACTATAAATTTGTATTAATATTTTGTTTACTAAACAACTAAAACTTTTATGCTATTTACCACTTTAAGTTTGGGAAATCAGCTATTCAATATAATGGCAATGGTTTTATGTTGATATGAATTTTGTACAAATTACGATTTGGATAAATTTGGTACTCTTGGAAAGATATTTCAGTCTACTTTCCAATGGCATTGGGTTTAGGTTGATATGAATTTTGCACAAATAACGGTGAATGATTTAATTTAGGAGGTTCATGTTAAAGTTAGGCAGTATTTGGCTTTTTAATCTATTTGTTATGTTCTATGATTTTAGTGATAAATGATATGATTACTATGAATTACTTGCCACACGTATGTATGAGTTACGATGCTATAAGAGATTTTATGTTAACATGAAGTAAGTACTAAGATTTTTAATTAAGTATTATCAAATGGCATGAACAATTCAAGAATCACATACGCCGGAGCCTCTCAGATTGCATCGCCATTAAACTTAAAACTTAAAGTTAAATTAAACCGTATTCATGTAAGTACAAATTTTACCTGCAACGTGATAAAGTTTTCAAGAAATTCAATTATGATTCCTTGAGATTTCATATATATTTTTTTATGAGAATTTTCATGTTACGTTTATTTAAGCTTAAATGCTTTATTTCATGTTTACAAGTTTACAAATACAAGTTATTACGAGCTTACATGATTATGAGATTCATGATGTTACATATTATGAGTATCCATGTTATACTCTCACGAAAATCAAAACAAGTAAAGAAGATATTTTATCACATTAAACGATAAGGCAACGTAACAATTAACATTTCATGACTATAGGGCAACCCGTTGATCTAGACGACGACTTCATGTTCATGTTTGCCTCGATAGGTTTACGACTTACAACTCCACTCTTGTTGTAGGTTGAGGGCATGTAAGTTTGTCTCATATCAGATAATAAAAGGAAAAATATTTTTCATTAAGAAAGGAAATTGATTCATGATTTGTAAATTGTTAAAATGCTTTATCTGAGGAAATTGTTGTGCTTACTAGCTTTAGCTCAGGTTTTTGGGGTTATTCTTTTGGAGTATAACTTGAGTGTAGTTTTTGAGTTGAATTTGAGTTATAACTTGAGTTGAAGTTAAAACTTGAATAAAGTTGAGTAAAATTGAATAAAGTTAAAACTTAAAAGAATGTGAACTTGAATAAAGTTGAAACTTGAGTTGTCTTTTTTTGAGTTTTTTGGACAAAAGAACATGCCCTAAGTTTCACGTTACAGATTGGTGTGCGAAGGGCGAGAACGTAGGAGATGAGATACCACACACACAATTTTATCTCCTCATATGTTTCAATTATATTCTATGGAATTATGATTTAATGATTTTTCAGTTAGTATGTTTTCGAATGATGGGATACGAGATTTTATGTTTTAAGTTAAATGTTTCAGTGTTTAGAGTCTTATGACATGTTTCGTGATTATTTCCGTTAGGAAAAAGTTTCAAGTCTTCTAGAAAGAATGTTATGCATTTCTCATGTAATGTTTTAATATTTAATTAATGTGTTCCTTCTTTATACCGTTTTGATCTTTAAAGTTATATTTTAAAAGAATGTTTCACGAACAACTGTAATGGTCTGTAAAAACATCGTTACATAGCTAGTGATGTAGGGA